TTGTCTGTTGGACAGAAAAGCCAGACAACTAAATGTTCTTGAGGCAGAAATGCATCTCATCTTGCTGCAGAAACCTAATCAAGGCTTGGAAGCAAAAAAAAAAGTATCTGGAAATTGCCTACATAAATCTATCTGACATGCACTTCGTCAGGAAGAGAGAGCAGTGATAGTTCATGGAGCTGATCTCTTCTGGCCTGCAAGATTCAGTTTATAAACATCTGGAAAGACCACAATTTGTATATATACTTTTGCTGAGACTTTGATAACACAAAACACTAACACAAAACTGTGCCGTCAGCTCCTCCCCCTCCTTCAAACTAAGAGGAAAATTTGAAATTATGGTAACTTATATCAAAGTATTTTCTTTGAGTTCTCATCCTAGTAAAGAATGATTACACACAACTACCTGATGACTCCTTGTCATCTCAAATAAAATTGAAATAAAACAAGTTAAAAAGGTGCAGAGAGAATTTAAAAAAAAAAATTAAAAAATGAAGGATAGGCTGCTCTGGTTGAAGACTGGAGCTAAATAAGGACTATTCTCATTGATATATTGTGACAAATGCCTGCTGAGTTTCTCCCCACTTTGAACTGATCCATGTATTTCTAAACCCACATTCAACAAGATACTGCAGCTACATATTCCAACATGCCTGATGCATTCACATGGATATTTAAAGCACAAATTTATAGCAGCTTATAACAACCCTGGGCAAGACTTCAAACCTAAACGCAGCAGAGCAATCAAGTGCAGGCAAAAGAGGCCACCAGAACTTCATGGGATAAACGGTAATTTCCCCAGGTTTTCTGAGATTGAAAGCAAAGGAAGCAATAAAGCTGATGAGTTTTTAGGAGCCATCAATTTCTTTTATATGAAACTCCTTTAACAACTTACTGTCTCAAAACAGTTCCCAAAACACATCCAGCATCCAGAGTAACTTGACCACCACTCTAGAGAATCTGCTGTCACCATCCAAATGGTGGCAAGTAAGCAAAGTATTTCAGATCTCTTCAAATAAGCACCACCCTATAAGCAGAAATATTCTGATACATACTGTCAAATAAAAATATAAAAGTACAGTTATATCTTCTGTCTCTGGGGTTTTGATTAGCTCTGCCATCAATTTACTCATTCTAAAATTACATTTACTACAGCCAGCAACACACAAAGTTGCTTCTGGCATCCTATTCCTTTTTTCCCAATGGCAGAAAGACAAGAAAACGTACAGTCATATTCCAGTACACATCCTGTCTCCTGAAACAACCCTCCTGGGAACAAAGCAGGCCTCCAGTGTGTATGTCAGCAGTAAATCTCATCCCACTGGCACAGCCGTGGTTTAATCCCAATCTGTCAGCACAGTGGCACTCACACACACACACACACACACACTTACAGCAATATTCTGATAAATCCCACACTGCCTTACATAAACAACGTGCCCTGCAATCCAGGGATAACAGGGGGCTTTGCAGGGACCACAGCCAGGCAGCACAGAGCCCTGGCAGAGGAGCAGGCCTGAGGCACAGTGCCTCACAGAGACCTGTACAGTACACAGAATACCAGATACCACAGTGAACTGGGCTGTGCAGAACATGCAGGGCAAGTCTGCAATAGCCTATCAAAGGGCTTCCCCTGTAAGCTTTGCCATATTCAGGACAAGTGCTTAGTGCTGCAGAAACTCTTGGAACTCAGGAACAAGGAGGCATAACTTCACTACTCTACCAGCAGAAAAATTCCTCAAGGTTAGGAATCAATCCCTGTTTACAAGTGAATTCTGTAAAAAGAAATAAAATCAACTGTATTTTAAATGATGAGAAGTTTATCTCAATTGGTTATATTTTTACTGTTTCCTGTGGCTTTCACATATGGAAAAACTGCAGAACAGTTATAGGAAAGAGCTACCTCCACTCAACACTTAATTAAGGGAAACTCAAGGATTGATCTAACTGATCACTGTTCCATGAGTAGGGCACAACATAAACTAAGAAAGCCTTTTGTTCTCCTGAAAGTGTTCCACTGGTGTCAGGAGCAAGGAGCCAGCCTTGTGGGTGGTCCTGCTACACACGGATCCCACATTCGCAGGGCTCCTGTGGAAGGCAGTGACGCTGCATGAATTGCAAGATTCTCACTCCCACACAAAGTCACTGCTGTTACAATGAGCTGCTGCAAAAGCCCACTTTTAAATTACTCCAGAAGGAAAACAACCCCCGTGTGTTCACATCAGCTTGTGAACCCGAATCCTGCCCCGCAGGAACGACTGCCTTCAGTGACAAGCAGTTACAGGACACTGCTCCAGCCCAGTGTTCAGTGGCTGTGATCCACATCCTCGGGAGGGAGGGCAAAGAACAGGGTCTATTTCATGCTCTTTGATTACAAAGCAAACTTCACCAATGACAAACAGAAACGACCCAGACCCTTCAGAGACCAGAACTAACGCTGATTCACTCCAGCCACGTGGTGATCCTCTGCTCTAATGACAGGACTTGCTAATCAAGAGTGTGAGCTATCCCACAGCTGAGTAACATGCAAGAAGAACTGTGCTATGTGAGTGGCACTAACAAAGGAACCACAGGACACTTCAGGTAAGCAGGGGAGCTCTGGAGGGTACCCACAGACCCCTCCACAAAGCAGGGCTCACTCAGAGGTAAAATCAGGTGGTTGAGGAGCTCATCTCATGCTGAAGTTCAAGGAGGAAGAGCTGGGAAGCACAGCACCTGGTGGGGGCTTTGCTCAGAAAACAGGACATTCTGAGCTCACTTGAGCACTCAGAACATCGACCTCACCAGCCAAGTGCAGTACATCCCGTTCCTTGTACAGGCAGACTCGCCTTTAAATACGGATCTTGGGAAAAATGGCATCTCTCCATTAATCAAATACACTCTGGTCTGCTTGAGCCCAAACTAAATTATGTCCAACTGCATTATTTTGATACAAAACAAGAGGCAGAACTATTAATCTTGTGAGAACACATTAAACATCCACACCTGACCTTTCCACCAAGGACAAATATCCCCCTTTGTGACTTCAACAAACACTCCCAGGTAATACATGGGATCAGCTCAGAGAATCACGGTGGCATCCATTTTTTTGCCACAGAACAGCATTCACAAAAACCTTTCAACACAAAAGGAGATAACAGCAGTCCTTGGAAGCAGATGATCTTCCCACTTCAAGGTCTTCTGGTCTCAGTGATTTGCAGTATTTTCCAAAATCTGCAAGTTTTGGATTTTTTTAAATGGTGTTTCAAACCTCTTTAGAAATTACAACCTGTTGTACTGCAAATGCACACACTGCTGTTTAGGAGCTGGTCTCAGGCAAGTAAATCCCAACAAAACCACAAAAATTGGATAAGTACATTCATCCCATTCATCTCAATTGGATGAGAGCTGTGAAGCCTAAAATGTGAGAATTTAAATTCCTGCATTTATGAGTCATATCAGTGATGACCACACACGGAATTACCTACTTAAAAGTACAAGTATAATATTTGGGACATTTTTTCCTCAGCTGACTGAATATTAAAAAAGAAAGAGAGAACCAAAGCATCACTGTCCAACCCAAACTCAGTGGAGATCTGTAGTTATGTAGCTGTTTTTTAACAAATTGTATTTCTAGTATTTAATAAGAATTCAAGCATAACCTCAGAAATATACAACTCTCTACATGGATTACACTTCCTGTTCCACAGAGTATTGAAATTTATGTCCATACAACAAGCAAAACTTTTAATGTCATGATACTGCAGACGCATCTAAAATACCTGGCTGTTCTCTGAGCAGCCCAGTGTGTATTTAAACAGCCTTTTGGAGCTGTAATACCTTTGAAACCAGCATGAACCTCTATGCACACCCACAGGACTTGACAAAGCGCTGTAACACATCCTGGAGAGAAGGATGCTACCCAGGATACACGGCAGCCAAAAGCTCTTCCCAGGACAAGTGGCTGGTTTCCATTAGCAGGGATTACGTGACAGTTGGGTGAGGTGGTCAGGGAGCGTCAGGACTCTGCCTTCAGCAGATGTTTCACAGCACTCCCACACCATGAGTCACCTGGGACTGCTCTGGTTCCACATCGTCAACAAAACCCTTCATTCATGCTGAATTGGGTGAACAGGGAGGGCAGCACATAGCTGTGCTCAGAGGAGTGTCATCACCAGGCAACATCCTTCATGGGGATATTCTAGGCTCACATTTCTGTCACACAGTAGTAGCTACAACATAATTTGCCATTTTACCAATGTAATTTTCTGTATTTTGGGCAGATTCTTAGGGGGGTACCTAGAACTCTTTAACCACGTTTTTATTGTGCTATTTTGTGAGCTGCAGTACAAATCAGCATCCTGTAGGACAAAACCATCAATTAAATCCACTTCTCGGGCAGAATTTGAGAGAAAGAGGCAATAAATTGGACAGATGAGGAGCCAGACCTGTGCTTCTGTAGCCATCTTGCACCAGCATGCTTGGGATTTTTTGCCTGGAGTGCAAGCAGCTGAAGTTGATTTTGATTTAAATTTTCCGGATGCTATTAAAAGTAGCTTAGTTTGAGCGATGTGTCAGATTTATGGACTCTCGTGCTGGGATTTGCTGAGGGCAAGGAGAGCTACACCTGCCTTCTGTGCGATGTCAGAACTGATGAGCCAGGGTCCCAGCTCTGGGAAGATCATCGTGCTGGAGCCACGGCTTTGCAGCACTGTTGCACTAAGATCTTCCCAGCGCTGACACCGAGTGCCTTGCTTTTGGTGCAGTGCAAGAGAAAAACTTACCAACCCTCTCTTATTACTGCAACATTTTGCAGCTTTACTACAAAATAATGATAACTGATAGTATCTAGAAATCGAGCTTTCACACAGGCTGCCGCTAACAAATCTGGGCTGCTTGAAAAGGGCAGGTGCAAGTGGAGCTGTAAGAAGCAAGGAGGGGGTATTCTGCCAGCCCTACATTCTCCTCCCTTCCCTTTAAACCCCACCCCACCCCACCATCAGAGAAGTCAGCCCCCTTACCTGATAATATCATCGTTGTGCCCGAGGAAGAATTTCTGGCTGTGCTCCCTGGTGTTGTAAACCACGCCGACTCCGGCCACGAAGTACACGACCTCTTTGCCTGCCGTGTAGTACAGGTTGTTGCGGCACTGGTGGCCCCGGTAGCCGTACACCCACTCCAGCCGGAGCTGGCAGCGCGGAGCCGTCCGATCCGCCATGATAACCAACCCCCTGCCCACCCGCACACAGCCGAGCGCTGACCCGCCTGCTCCCGGCACGCGTCCCCCTTGCCGGCGTTGGCGATGCCTGCCCAGCTGCCGGAGCCTCAGGTGGCCCTTCCGAGCGGGGATGGGGCCGGCAGGCGCATCGGCGGAGCCGGGATGCCGCCGCTCACCGCCGCGCCGCCACCATCATCTGCCGCCGCCGCTGCCCAGGACGAGCCGCCGCCGCGCCGCCGCCGCCGCGCCACCAGCCAACTTCTCGGGGGCACACCGGCACACCTACATGGGCAGCGCACCGCGCCTTTTGTCTGTCCGAAGCCAAAGTAACTTCTGTGCGTCACCAGCACCACCTGCCAAAGGCTCCCCGCTGCGTCTCCCGTGTGGCACCTTCTTGGCTTCCTGCACAAAGCTTCCCAGGTGCTCCTCTTTTGAACATAGTTACCCTCGGGGCCAGAGCTGAAAGAGAAGAAAACACAAGCCCCGTGGGTTTAACCTGCAGAGGGCACGTGTGTTTAAAATGCAAAGGGACTGCTGGGATGGGGGACCCGCTCCGCCTGGACAGGGGGGGACTGTTTGGATGAGGGGAGCTCTGCTGGGATGGGTGCTGTGGGTGGTCTGGGTGCTTCTGAGCCCTCTCAGCACGACCCAACGCTCTGAGTCCTCACGGGAATCCTCTCTTTCAATACCATCTCTTACACAACAGCCAGCATAAATATGGGGATATAACCCATCTTTCCTTATCCCCCAGCAACCCAAAACTTCCTCCTTTGGGATTTTACAGCAACCATGTAATTAAAACAATTTTAAGTTTCCCATTTTCAGTCCAATTCACCATGAGGTAGTGGGGGCTGGTGGCGGTTTTTTTTTTTTTTTCCCCCCCCCCCCTTTTTTTTTTTTGTACTGTCATCCTTTGGAATGGTATTCCAAGGAACACATTTCCTCGCTTGGGTTCTGCTTTTCCTAAAGCAGAATTTGTATTGTCATTATCAGCCGAGCGTGGCTGCTGCATGTCGTTGGGGATAAGACATCCACCGCTTTATAGTATCACTCCACAGGAGCCCAAACCCAGCCCTCCAGAAACTCGGCCACAACCGCAGGGAAGAGGATGCTGGAATCAGAGAACCAAACATTCACAGGGCACAGCGCCAGACGGACGGGAAGAGGGAATTAAATCCAAGGCTGACAACAACCCCTGTACCTTTTCCCACACAACACGCCTCACACCGATGTGCGCGTTGGCACCGCTCGCACCCGGGGTCACAGCGCCGGCAGCACTCCGGGACACGGCGGCGGGACTCCCGCCCGCAGGGAACCCGCTGGTCGCCCGAAGCGAACCTCGGAGCCTCCGGACCCACCTCCACGGGAGCCCGGCCCCCCGCGGCCGGGCGGAGCCCTCACGGTGCCGCCCCGGGCGGGCGGAGCCCTCACGGAGCCCTCACGGTGCCGCCCCGGGGCGGGGCCGGTGCGCGCGGCGCCTCACGGGGCGCGAGCGCTTCCCGCCCTTCGGGGGGCGCGCGGCGCCTCACGGGGCGCGAGCCGTTCCCGCCGTTTCGGGGCCTGGGCCGTGGGGGGGGCCGCGGTCCCCTCAGCCCTGCCCCGGCGGGGATACACGGATTTGGGCAATAAAAAACGACTTTCTGCGTCCCTTGCTTACGGTAGTCTCCAAAAGTCTCACAAGATACAACCAAATTCGCAGTCACTTTTTTTTTTTAACTGCCTCACCAGCAAAACACCTCGTTTTATCCTAGAATATCCTGAGTTGGAAGGGACCCACAGGGATCATCGAGCTCCACTCCTGGCCCTGCACAGGTCACCCCAACAATCCCACCCTGTCCCCGAGAGCGCTGTCCAAATGCCCCTTGAGCTCTGGCAGGGCTCGACTCCCCTCTGGGTGCAAAACCTTCTCCTGGTACCCCACCTGAACCTGCCCCGACTCAGCTCTGGCTGTTTCCTTGAGTTCTGTCACTGGTCACGAGAGTCATTTACACCTGCGTGTGGGTCTCAGTGGTTTAAATCCTGCTGGGACCGGTCCCTTGTCTGGAATTAACTTCTGGCTGTGGCAACACGCCAGCCCTTTGGGACAGAACAGATCCTGGTTGTACCTTTGGTGCAGGTGCACCCGTACAAACCCCCTGCTCTTCCAGCACTGCCCCAGGAATGTGCTGGCAAAGGCTGACAACACCCTTACTGACCCATGTTACAGCCGGGTCTGCACTGATTTGAATGCTTTGAAAAGCATTTATCTGCAATCTGCACCCTTAAGAATTTAGTGAATTATATGCTGCTAATTGAATAATTAATTAATTCAATTAATTAATTTAATGGTGAGGGGTTTGTGGGCTGGGTTTATGTTTTCAATTTTAAAAAATGCACTATTTACCTTCCTATCAGGAGCTGTCATGTTGCTGAAAATGTTCCTCAGTGCTGCAACCTGCTGTTCATTGTCAGCAAAACAAATATCCCTCATGCTCTCGTGGGGTTTTTGGGTGTTAATACTGGATTTTGGAGTCCTCAGCATCACAAATGCAAGGAAGGCTGGGAAGGAAAAACACAAACCAAGACTGAGTGTGAATCTTACTAAAAAAGGGGCATTTCTGTTCAAAAAAAGAGTCTTCAATGTATTTCCAATGTAACATAACTCTTGTAAAAATTAACACTCTAAAATATATTGAAGAACTTAATTAAAAGAGACATAAAAATTTGCAATAGCACCAGCATTTTCCTCCTACCTGTGGCAAGGAGCCCGTTAGCCTGGAACATATATCCCAGGATTTTACTGCTTTTTTTCTTGTATTAAATGTGAAAATCAACTAATGTGGCATCTTGTATGAGTGGCACCTGACTGACAGTCACTGCTCTCTGCCCAAGGGACCATTCTCTGCTGCTTGGGTTTTTTGAGGGCTTTGGGTTTGGTTTTTTGGTTTCATTTGCTTGTTTTATAGCAAGCCTTGTTTAGAAGATGCCAAAAAGCACCACATCTCAAATGAACTCCAATCCTCTGTGATACATCCTGCCCACTCTGTACATATCCAAGAGCTGTGATTAACAATGAACACTGAGGTTTTCCCTCCCAGAAACATCTGTGTTGTGTCCTAGATCTCTGCTCCACAAAATAGCCTTTATAACTCCTATTTTTATGGATGAATGTGCAGCAGATGCACAGAGATGCCATATTAATTGGTATTTCAAAATTGGTACCTCTTATTTGAGCTCTAAATGCTTTTTTAAATTCTATAAAATCCCTAAGACCTTGGGGGGAGGGATCAGAAGCAGGAGCTGTGATCTAGTTCTGTTTGTTTGTTGCCTGGCATTACATTAATCCAATCCTGATTGATGCCTCTCAGTGATTTTACGATTTAACTACAAAATCATAACAGGGGAATTGGCTCTAAGCTCTTATTCCTTGTGGGCAGGAACACTGATTTGCATTAATGAAATGCTCGGATCTGGCCAGAAATAGCATTAGGGGGGAACAGAGAAGAGGGAAAATGGAGCATTTTCCATCCTCAAGCCCATTTCTGAGAGACCAGACACTGGTCTTCCAGAGCCCATCTCTACTGGGGCACTGCCTGCCTTCATCCAGACCTTGATGGGGGCTGCCCTTCTGCCATCTTTTCATGGAATGCCAGTGACCAGTTTAAAACCATGACCATCACTGCAGAAAGCTTGATCTCCCCAGAGAGCTGCCCTCCTTTCCTCTGCCCCAGCAGGGATGGGGTTGTTCCTCACCTTCCCATACCCTGGCTGCCATACTCGACTCAACTTCCCTCCCACGGTGATGCATCTGAGACGTGTCTAAATCTCGCCTCGAGTTTACGTAACTCTTTAGCAATCTGCCTTTCTGAGGGAAGAGAACTTTCACCCAAGCTCTCAGTTCTCTCGAGTGCTCAGATAACACTCGGTGTGGTGTTCCAGTGAGAGCGGCTCAACATCTCCCTGGACACAGTGACCTCTCATGGACGATGCTGGCACTCAGGGAGCAGGGCAGCTTTGTCTCACTGGGCGTGGGAGGATAAGAAAAGCAGTAGCAATAGGAGACCCATAACAAAATTCACGTCAGGCCCAGGTAATTTTACAGTGAAAATGTGATGAGCCACCACAGCGTCTCAGCTAACAGTGAAAGCGTATTCTGTGAAATGTATTATTTTGGGACGCAATGTGTATCCACCCCGTGGTGAGGTGTTCATGAACCAAGTGTATTCCCGCTGTGCTGCAGCTGGGGTGTCCATGAACCAGGTGTATTCCCGCTGTGCTGCAGCTGGGGTGTCCATGAACCAGGTGTATTCCCGCTGTGCTGCAGCTGGGGTGTCCATGAACCAGGTGTATTCCTGCTGTGCTGCAGCTGGGGTGTTCTCCCCCACCAGGCTGAGCAGCACGCTGGGCTTGGGGAGCAGGGGAGGATCCGCATGCACTGACGCAGGAATCCTTCCCTTCTCCCTCCCCCCACAGCTGGGTATTTAGGGCCAGGCCCGTGCCGGGGCTGCCCTGCAGGTGTGCCCAGCCCAGGCCGGGCCGCGCTGGGCGGGCCGTGCTGCATTATGACACACTGCGGATGCGCCCACGTGGGCTCCGCTGCTGCTGCTCCCAGGGATGTCAGCTGACAGCACACACAATGTCTGCACTGCCTTCCCTGGCACCAGCACACGCACAGGCACCCAGGGCTACCTGCTGCATCGCAGCAAACCCCCAGTCCTGGCCTTTTCGTGTTGCACTGCTCAGCGCTGTGATACATTTCCCTTCATTCCCCCCGGGCTGGTTCACGCCTCACTTGTACTTTAATCTTGTTTAAAATCCTTGGAAGAAAACCCTGATAATCCACCAGAACCAGAATATCTATCGATTGCTGTCACAAGGCTAGAGAAAAATGCTTGACAGGAGATAAATTACAGTAAGGAAGGAAATAAATTAGAGCCTCAAGCTGAATGCTGACTCCTCAACGAGGCCCTGCTCACCCACCACCGTGGGGACACCCACTGGGAACATGGTGCTTTCTTACCTGACTTCTGTTCTGCTTGGCCTCAGAATGTGCTGCAGTGCCAGGACACAGAAAGGCAGCTGAATCCTTGCTCCACTTGTGCTGGCCCAGCGCTCCCGTCCCTCCTGCTCACAGGACGAGGCCTCCACTGGTCAGTCCCTGGACAGAGCTGTGGGGTCAGCGAGCTGGATTCCACTTCTTCAGTGATTTAATTCTTAGCATTAATCACTCATTTAGCACAGCCTGTTCTTCTGATATTTTTTTTAATGAAAAGGACTCATGTCTGTTCCAACTCATAGTCATTTAAGCTTCTGTATTTTTCAGCTACCCGTGATTGGTTAAGGTAGCAAAACCCCAAACAGCCACCAAAAATAGCAAAACTACATCATACCTGCAAGCTATGCATTACAAAAGTATATTCTTAAAGACCCTACACATTTAAAGTCCATACTCTGTGAACTCAAGCATAAATGTGAAGGGAAAACCATCTAAACCACTATTTCACCAGGACAGAGATTAATCCTTCCTTTCTTTACCATTACCATTAATCTTCCTTGTGCAGAGGACAGCCCTACCACAGAACATATTCTCTGTGCAGAACAGATGGATTAATCTGCATTAGATTATTTGCATCAGTCTAAAAGCAAGCCCTCCCACCAACACATGCTCAATTCCAATGGCTAAGGAGTTCTGGTTTTCCCCCCACACTGCACTCAGTTTGCCAGGATACAGGAAGGACCCTTCAGGATACAAACTGTGCTACAGCTCCTCCCTCCTCAGTGGGTAACTGTGCTGGGAGTCTGGCCACGGTGACACTGCAGTCTGGGAGGTGACACAGCCACCTGTGAACAGGTACCGCTGGTGGCAACGGCAGCTGCTCCCATTGCAGTCCCCTTTCCAACACCTACATTTACCAGTCCTTCTTCTCCCCCTGCGATTTTCCAGCAGTCCCTCCCTTCCCCTGGTCCAAGAGATTCCCGCAGTCCTGCTCCCTGCCCTGGCACTGGCTGTGCCCACTGACCTGCCTGCTCTGGCCTGGCTGTGTGCGGAGGCTGCTCCTGACCCTCCAGCTCACTGCTCCCTTACGCTGCAGGGCTTACTAGGGCTCCCTCCTGGTCCTCACCAACCTCCAGGCAGCTCCTAAGCACAAAGGAGTTTTGTTCAAGTCAGTTTAGGGAACAACTTTCAGTGAGAAGCAAGGCAAAGAAGGAAACATGTTCATCTCAGTCACACCAGAATCACACACCACAGGCCATCGAGATGGACCTGTCGCTGCTCAGTGTACCAGCTCAATCAAGTGACACATACTTAAGGCATCCACATCTCTGTGCACTTTAATCAACTAAGAACATTGTTTCATAGCCTCTAATAATGT